ATCCAAACACAATATGGTGAAACAGGAAACAATCATCAGTAGGGTCGACAACATATTCCGCATTCATTACTTTGTCCAGAACACCATCAAACATGTTGAAACAACATTAACACAATTAACTCTCAGATTCATTCCCCAAAACATACTCCAAACAATTTCAAATAGTTTCCAAAACAGCCTTTTACAAAAATCCTGAAGCATTCAATATGTAAATCAGAAGATTGATTCGCTAAAGCCTATAAAAGCCAAGCCAATCTCAACCAAAAGGGAGAGGACAGTTTTCACGAACACACAGAAGAGAACATATATTCAAAAACATCCACAAACCAAGAATCTCATCACAGCTAAACAAAACCTAAGAATTTCGCGAAGAAGAAAGTCAAGAATTTATCTTTTCTGTTACTCCACCGCGAAAATAGGAGGAACACGAATTTACAAAGCAAAAAAACACTCACAGACAAAAAAAACATATACACAAAAAACCCTAAACACAGAAAATCACAAAACATAAATACAGAGAGAAAAGGGTCCGAGAGGCTTATCTTTCGCGCTGCCGCTACCAAAAATTGCAAATCCACCATCATCGCCATCGCTATTACGAACTTCCTCCGTCCAAAACTTGCGGTAATCTTTCTATTTACGTCAAATTTATCGAAGCTTTGATGTGTTTGTTTGTTTTTCAAGTTTGAAGGCAAGAAAGAGATGCTGAGTGAGGGAAAAAGAAGAAGAAGTGGTCGGAGAAGAGAATTTGTGAGAGAGAGGATCAGAGAAAAAGAGGAGGAAACGACGCCGCGAGGGAAGAGGGTTGGGAATTTAGGGTTTCAATTGAAACCCCATTTCCCCTTTCTCTTGATGCTTCCGAACCGGGTCAGACGACCCAACTCCCCAACCCATTTATTTTTTTTAGTTGTTTTCTTTTGTAGTTATTTTATTGTATTTTTGTAATATTAATATATAATAATAAAAAACTAACAACTAACTACTAACACTAACTTAATCTTAAAAATCTGAATTTAATAAATCTAAAACTAATTTTCAATAAAAAAAAATAATTTAATTTAATTTAAATTTTGAGTTCAAATTTTCATTTCAATATCAAAAGTAAAAAATATGATTTAGGTTTAGGTTTTAATAATTAAAAATATAATAAAAATGCTTTAATCCTTTTCTCTTATAAATTATTAAAATCAATTGTTTGGCTTATTATTTCAAACCTCTTCTTGTTTCTCTAAAATAATGAAAATTTTAAAAAATAATAATACATAAACACTTTTTTTTATTAATTCAATGCTTCCTTCCGAACTTAATTAAATTTCTGACACTCTACTTAGACTTATATTCAAAAAATCTCAAAAATATCTTTTCTTCTCCACTTAGATTTAATTCAATATTAACTCAAAAACAACTGAAAATATTTTCATTTTCACTTAATTAATTTGACCTTTTTTTTATAAATAATTTCATCTTTTGATATCTTGGTTTAATTATCACAAAAATCATAAAAACAATTAGCCATAATTTCTAATTTCTTAAACTAAAAGCAAATTCACCTTTCAAAAATTAACCTTCCAATTATGCATCAATATCTCATTACCGACCAATATCACTGTTATCATCACCCATCACTTATACATCATTTTCAATTATCATTTGTCACTTTCATTTGTTTTGTCGTTTATATCCTCTCCGAAGGAAAGATTCACCACTTGACCCCCGTGTCAATGCCTTTACCCTCACCCTAGCCTTAGGATTTGAGTCCCCGTACTCACCTTTTAGGCGTCCCTCCGTGGACATTCTCCATTCATCCTTGCCTTAGGATTCGAGTCTCCGTACTCACCTTTTAGGCATCCCTTCGTGTACAGAACTTCCCCCTTTTCAATTTAACTTTTAACGTAGATAGGAGTCTCCGCACTCCAAGTAAGCGTTTTCATATGAACGCTTATTTCCCTTTGGAACTTTGACTCACAATCAATAATTCCTCAAACCCTTTAGGGGAACTACAGATACTCTGATTCCACTCCCGTCAGGATATGTAGGCATAAGATGCGATATCTTATCGAGTATACTTAGAAATAAAACCCTAGGTCTTTTACCTTTAAGTAGATAAACCATAGCAATAAACAAACATAAAACAAGAGGTTTCTATAGAGTACTACAGAAACTTAGGATGTTAGCACCTTCCCTAAGTTTAACCAACCCCGAACCTAAACTCTCTAACCTTTGCATTTGCATTGCATTGTGGGTATTTCGATCTTTTTCCTTTCCTTTGGACAAATCAAAGACCGGTTGTAAATGAATTAAGATTCAAGTTAATCAATTGCTTGACATCCAAATTTCAACGCGACAACTGTCAAACGCTTCGTTGCAGAACTCAAGACCATTGTCGGTTCTCAACCTCTTAACCTTTCTGCTAGTTTGAGTTTCGACCAGAACCTTCTAACTTTTGAAATTCTAAAAAGTTTCATCCTTCGTCTTCTGGATGAATACCCATAGCTTTCTGGAATAGTCGTCAACGATGGATAGAAAATACCTTGCACCTGAGTGTGAAGTACTCCTTACAGGCCCCCAAAGATCAACATGAATGTAATCCAGAGATCCATGTGTTTTTTTCTTACCTTTGTTAAACTTCTCCCTATAGGATTTACCAAATACACAAGATTCACAAAACTCCAACTTTTCGAATTTGTCACCTCCTAGCAATTTTTTCTTCCCCAATTCGACGAGGCCTCTTTCACTGACATGACCCAATGTCATGTGCCATAATTTTGTCTTCGACACAGGTTTCGTGGATGAAACATTTGTCGAACCATTTACAACCTCATCCGCAAGGGAATACAAGCCTTAATTCTTCCCGCATCTCAAGACTTCCTTCAACCCTTTCATGACTCCTAAGATACTTTTCTCTCCTTGAAAAACATATCCCTTCCTGTTGAATTCACCAAGAGAAATTAAATTTCTCTTCAAATCAGATACATACATGACTTTAGTCAATAACCTTATTGATTCATCATGGAGTTTGAATCTCACAGATCCAATACCTGCAATTTTGCAAGATTTGTTGTTTTCCAGCAGCACCGATCCATCATCTTGATCACATAACTCCTCGAACAATTCTCTGTTTGGAGTCATGTGTCAAGTGCAACCTGAATCCATAATCCACTCTTTTCTTGAGTCGTCACTTGAAACCACAAGAACATCAGATGAGTCGAAGTCATCTTCAACAATAGATGTGTTACCATTATCCTTACCTCCATGATCTTTTAGGCGTTCAGGGCATACATTTCTTGTGTAACCCTCCTTCTTACAGTGATAACATCGAATACCAAATGTTTCGCCACTATAAGACTTATGCTGACTTTTACCTTTCTTCTTGTCGAACATAGCATCCTTTCGCAAGAATTTTCCCTTAACGGCCAAACCTTCGCCCACCGTCGAAGGTTTATGCTCCTTTCGTTCGTTCAAGTCCTTAGAATACAAGGCTGGTTGAACTTCTTCAAAGCTTAGGGACTCCTTTTCATATAAGAGAGTTTCTTTGAAGTGAGCATGTGTTATGGGTAAAGCACACAACAACAACAATGCTTGATCTTCATCATCGATCTTCACATTAATATTTTCAAGATCAAGAATAAGCTTGTTGAACATATCCAACTGCTCAGCCAACACTTTATCTTCACTCATCTTGAATGAATACAAAGCTTGCTTCAGGTAGAGTCGATTCACCAGAGATTTGGTCATGTACAAACTTTCAAGTTTCACCTATAACCCCGATGTTGTAGTCTTCTTTGATACCCGTCGAAGAACCTTATCACCAAGGCTCAACAATAATGCGTTGTTGGCTTTCTCAATCATGGTTGTCTTTTCTTTTGTCATTAATGCAACGTCCATGGATGCCTCTCCCTTCAACGCTTTCAAGCAATCCTGCTGAAACAGTAGGACTTTCATCTTCAAGCGCCACAGACCGAAGTCGTTTACTCCGGTGAACTTTTCAATCTCATACTTTGTTGAAGGCATATTCTCCACGCTCACCGCATCAATTTGTTGTGAATAGAATGACTTGAAACAAAATATAAATGATTTCTTTATGATCAAAAAACACACAAGGGTTAGGGTTAACAAAGAAAACAAGGGAAAACAATAAGAAACAACAAGTATTGGTTATAAATTGCTATTGTTTCCTATATCTATCAAACAAGATTACAAGTATACAAGAATAACAAATAATCTCTCTCTCTCTCTCTCTTGAATTAAAATTTTATCTTCCCGTGTTTTCTTATGCAAGATGAGAGACTAGCATGCTATTTATAAGAAAACTAACACACTAACCTAATGAGCTTTTTAACAAACTCATTACAAGCTAACTTAGGGTACATGCTAACTTAAACAATTGAGCTTACGAGCAAGACTCAATTCAACATGCTAACAAGCCTAGCAATACTGACTAATGTATGTTAGAACAAATTTCGACTACAACACACATTACTTTGGCAGTAGCCATGCGAACAAACTTCGACCTCATGCTTAATTCCTGTCAAATCAGAAGCTACTCTCGACCATATTAAAAATCGATCCATTATCTCACGCATACTAATTAAATAATTTAAACAATAAAAATAAAATCTCTTTATAGTTGCTGTTACTACACATGTTGTGTGTCAATGCCAGATCCATTTCTTTCTCACTTTTTTATTCCTTATTACAGTTTTCATTCTTCCTATAACTTTTCGATTCCTTACTTCACTTTAATATGAAATTATTCAATATCATTAACCAAAGCAAAACCAAAACCAAAACCAAAATTCTTTCTAAACTTTAAGAAAGAATCTTAAGCTATGTTCTATAAATGATGTCCTAGGCGTCCAATTAAATAAATAATCACACAAGAGTTTCATCATAGATAACAACTATATGTTTAGTGATCACAACACAAATATTTACATATATAAGTCTAACATTCATATTTTCTTTTTTCTTGCAAGCCTTTATTAATATTTTGAGAAAACATGGAAGCGCTGGGTGTAATCTGGGAAGTTGCTAAAAGTTTGTTCAGTTGGACAAAAGCACAAGCTACCTATGTTTATAAGTTGCAGGAGAATCTGGAATCATTGATGGAAAAATGGGAAGATCTTCAAAACAAGAAAAAGGATGTACAAATAGAAATTGACAGAGCTGAGAGCACAGGAGTCATGAAAAGAACAAATGAAGTGATTGGTTGGCTACATAAATTTCAAAAACTTGAAGAGGTATTTTTCATACTAGCTTTTAATTTCAAGTTTGGAAATTGAAAACTAAAGCTTGTTATCAACTCAACTAGTTACATATAAGTTTATTACAAGTTAAATTATATTTCATGCATGGTTTTAAATTGTGGTTGCAGTCGCGAATACAGTTGCGGTTGTTGGTGTTGCGATTGCAGCCATTGCGCTTGCAGCAATACGCATTGCAGCCGTTGCGGTGTAAATTTTAATTGGAATATATTTGAAATACTTCACTGGAAAACTCGAGATGTTAAATCAGATATAAATTGAGTTTTTGTGTTCTCTAATGTTTAGCTTTGATAAAAATATGTGAAAAAAACCTGGGTGAAGTTGTTTAATGTGAATCCTAATGTAGTTGGATGCCATGATTTAAAATCATACGGTAATTATGGTTTGATGCGGATGCTGAGACTACTGCATCAGAAATATTACGGCTGCAATTGCGGTTGCGGACTGTAATTTAAAACTATGATTTAATGTATGAACACCAAATTAGAAAGGAATGGAAATGATTATATTAAAAAACAATCATGTTTATATACTTTTATATTGGATGAAGCAAACTTTTTATTAGCGATGAGTGCGACTAAGTTTCTTAAGTAGCGTCGAGTTTGTAAAGAATGAAAGTGGTATGATCCCTACAGAACAAACTCTTGGAGAGGGATGAAACATTTTAAGCTGACACCTACACACCATATTAGAGATTAGTCTCATAGACGGTCATTTGGACCAAAGCATGTAAACCCACTGAGGTGCTAAAGTTTTAGTTATGGTGGATTATTTTTTAAACATATTGAGATTCTTTCTAGACTTCCTACCTACTTCATATGTTCATGATTGTCTATTTATAACAGAAAATAAAAGATATTCCCAATTCTCAAGAAGTTCAAAGTAAGCAATGTTTGAACGATGTTTCAAGCTACAAGTTAGGGAAAACAATTGTTAAGAGGCTTAATGACGTGAACGGCCTGCTTGCTAGAGCTGGTAATCTGCAGATTGCTCTGAAGCAACCACCTAAACCTATATATGAGATGCCTTCTAATGAGACTATAGGCTTAGACGTTATGGTCCACAAAGTATGGAATTCTCTTAAGGATGACACTGTTGATGTAATTGGTTTATATGGAATGGGTGGGGCTGGAAAAACAACCCTTATGAAAAGAATTCACAATGAATTAGGAACGAGGGACCATAGTTTTGATCTAGTGTTGTGGGTAGTGGTTTCTAGAGATTTTGATATCAATAAACTAGTGAATGACATCGGCAATAAATTAGGAATTGAGGAAGGTTTTTGGAATAGAAGTACTCAAGAACTAAGAGTATCAAAGATTTATGACCGACTGAAAGGAAAAAGGTTTTTGTTGATGTTAGATGATTTGTGGGGAAAACTAGAACTAGAAACAATAGGAGTTCCAGCTCCGAAAGAAAATAACAAATCAAAAGTAATGTTCACGACACGGTCTGAAGATGTGTGTGGTAAAATGCAAGCTCAGAAGAAACTCAAAGTGGAATGTTTATCAGATGAAGAAGCATTTGATTTGTTTTGTAAGAAAGTAGGTGATGAGACTTTAAAATGTCACTCAGAGATCCCAAAGCTAGCGCGTGAAATGACTAAAGAATGCAAAGGATTGCCGCTAGCCTTAATCACTGTGGGAAGTGCCATGGCTGGAGTGGAAAGTTTTGAAGCTTGGATGGTTGCGAAAAATAATTTGAGGAGTTCTCCTTGGACAGCCTCAGATTTAGAGGATAAAGTTTTCCGTATCCTCAAGTTTAGCTACGACAAACTTCCAGATAAGGCACATAAAAGCTGCTTCTTGTACTGCGCACTATACCCAGAAGATTATGAAATATACATTGATGACCTTATTGATAGATGGATTGCTGAGGGATTTCTCTGTAAAGATGATATGTGTGTGTATGATATGTACAACCAAGGGAAATCTGTTATTGAAAAATTAACTCTTTCGTGCCTATTAGAGGAGGGTGTTGATATTGAATATCACACTTATCTTAAGAGGAATAGTAGGACAGTTAAGATGCATGATGTGATTAGAGATATGGCACTATGGTTAGCTCGAGATGAAGACAAAAACAAAGAGAAGGTTGTAAATGAGGGAGAAGTATTTTCAATGTCAAAAATGGATTCTCAAACATTGAATGTTGTAGAGAGGATTTCAATAATATATGATGGAAATTTTGAAGAAAATTGGAACCTACCAGCTTGTCCAAATCTCATCACCTTTTGCTTTAACATTCGACATTGCATTAGTAATAATAATCATGATTTATCAACAAAATTTCCTTCCATGAAAAGGTTGAGAGTGTTGGATTTATCATATACTGATTCTGTTCAGATAATCTCCCCAGAATTATGTGATTTAATCAACTTGGAGTTCCTTAACATTTCAGGAACATATGTCCGTAAGTTGCCCATTGAATTGAAGAAGTTGAAAATTTTGAGGGTACTCCTTATGGATGATATGAAACGTCTAGCAGTTAAAGGAATTCATTTGGAAGTGATAGAAAGTCTTAAACAATTAAAAGTGTTTAGATTTAGTGTAAGTAAATCATATGAGTGTATAATCTATAGTGTACAATTCGAGATATCATTACTAGAGAAGCTGGAATCGTTACCAAAATTGGAGGAACTGAGCATCCATTTAACTGGCACCACTAGTATGCAGAGACTATTTCACTCCACCAAATTACGAGGTTGCTCTAGACATCTTAGGCTTAATTTGGTTGAGCTAGGCACACTTGAAATGTCCACATTATTAGCCTCCATTTCAGAATTAACTCATTTAGACGGCATACTTCTTTCAAAGATACACTGCCTCATGGATGGTCCATTGGTTACTGAAAAATGTCATCTTGGCAAACTTCGACAAGTGCGCATACATTTTTGTAATTCAATTACTCATTTGACTTGGTTGACGTATGCCCCACTTCTCGAGGATCTTTGTGTTTTTAGTTGTAATTCAATTGAACATGTGGTGAAGGAAGCCAAAGATGAAGAAGAAGCTGGCTCTGAATCTAAGAATAAGAGTATATTTACAAATCTTAAAGATCTTTGCCTTGAAAGAATGCCAAGTCTAGTGAGCATCCACGAAAGAGCTTTGGCATTTCCTTCCCTAAAACGTATTCTTGTAACTGATTGCTATGAACTGAGAAAGCTTCCTTTAAACTCCAGCTTTGCTTCCAATAACAAATTGGTTGCAATCCAAGGAGGGTCTGACTGGTGGAACAATTTAGAGTGGGATGACACAATTATTGAACGCTTACTACGTCCTAAAGTTCTACAAATTTATGGAGCATACAGAGGCGCTCTAGGTGGTAAGTATTGACACAATTTAGAGTGTATTTCCATTCCAATTTCATTTCTGCTCTTTGCTTATTAACAAGGCTTTATATGTGTACCTTTCTTCTTCATTTTCTTTGTTAATTTTAGTTTGTTGTTGCTTTATACTACTCAATCTTGCCTATGCATTGTTGTTTATGTACAATTTCATTGCGCGCGTATTGGGTTTTCTTGTTCTAGTTTTACGCATTTTACAATTTCCAACTAGTTAATCATTTCGAGTTTAAAAGTTGGCACATTTTTTGTCCTACATCAAATTAGGTGTGAAATATTACGGGTTTAAAAGAACCAAACACAAGTTGCCGGCCAGCTCCATATAAAATCAGTAAACTAGCCTATGTTTTTCATTAACAGAAACATAGATTGATAAATTTACTAACATAGTTGTTCAAACATGGTTTGTTTCATTGAATGAGACAGACAGCTTACTATGTATGTGGACTTGACCTATTCATAGATTAGTATTCTACTTATACATCATTTGCGCATAGTTCTCACTTAATGATTATGGCACAACCATGTGCAAACCAAAACCTAAACTATCTAGACCACTACTATAATAACAACATTTGCCATTTATTTTTGTAAGTTCTATGTTGAAAAGTGATTTGATTTTAAATACAAGTGTCCATTGAGTCTTTAAATGCGTGTAATGTTGGCCAAAATGTGTGGAAAGGAAAAAGAAACTCCAAATTTAAGCAACGAGGGAGCCCAACCGGTTTTCAAATGCATCATTCGCATATGTTTGGTATCCAAGTGAAACACGGCTAAGTTTGAAAAAGCTAACGTATGTAGCTTTTACTAAACGTGGATTTAAACGTGAATTTTCATCGCGAGAATAAAAGTTTTCAAACACAGTCTTAATGTTTATGCTTTAAAGTGAACAACCAAATGTGCATATAAATAGAAACAAGGGGACATATAGTAAAAATAACTCCGTACTTTTCGAAGGACAATTTAATAATGTTGTGAAATAATATCGTGAATAACAGAATAAAATTATGAGATAAAATTTGAGTTTTTTGAACAAACACGAGAAATTCTATTAAATTTTACAAAAAAGGGAGAAGAAGGAAGAAGAAGAATAATAATTAATTAAAACTCTTTTACTATTCACTTTCTCAATAAAGGTTCAAAAATTACAAGTGAATACCAACATTTATAGTTTATTTATAGACTACTAAACTAACTTAGACTACAAGCTAACTTAACAATTGGACTTATAAGTAAGGTCCAACTCGACATGCTAAATTAAACACAAACGTAACAAATTTCGACAACATGATTGAACAGACTTCAACTACAACATGCACAACTTTTGTTGAATCATGAAACTATTCTTGTCGACATTAGAGTTCGATCCAAAATACCACAAATCTCCACCCTGAAACAAACTCAACACTAATAAGGGAACAAACTAGCTTCCATCATGCAACTTTATCAACTGCATACAGTGGAAAAACTTGCTACTTCGCAATGTCTTGGTGATCATATTAGGAGCATTGTTATCAGTCGAAACCTTCAGCACTTGAACTTCTTCACGCTCGATTATATATTTAAAGAAGTGCAGCCTCACATCGATGTGCTTGGTTTACTCATGAAAGCATAAATTCTTCGACATGTGTATTGTATTTTGACTATCGCATTTAATAGTGATAACTCAAGCTTGAAGCTTAAACTACTTGACAAGATCTTCAAGTCACAATGCTTCTTTCACAACTTTAGTGATGGCGATATACTCCGCTTCAATGGTTGATAAGACAACATCCTTCTGAAGTGTTGTTTTCCAACTGAATGTTGTGGCAAATATAGTGAACACATATCCAAAAATAGATTTTCTAGTATCCATACTGTAACACCCCCTTTCTATACCCCCAAATAATCACATAATCATTTAGGCACATATTAAAAAATTTAATCAGAGTATAGTTATAAACATGGTATAAAAGAGGTATGTCACATTATACGTGAAATTAAAACATACAACACCTGCTCAACAAAAGATATGCAACAGTGGGGTAACTTGCAACAGAGGAACTTAGTCCTTACACCCACATCTCAATATTTAGAATAAAAACGGAAAATCTAAACATTGAATAACATCAAACATATAAACATATATGTACATCATCCAATATAATTCAACAAAAGACATGTTTTCATAAACATTCAACATCCAGATACATATACAAATGTATCACAAAAATAATCATACACAATCCTAGCTACCCGGTGCTACATATCAGAGCCGACCGACCAAAAGATAAAGACACGCTTCACAAAAAGACCTCCAGCCAACCTACTCTGCAATGCCTCATAGAGCACCATAAAATAGCAGAAGGGTGAGAAATATTATCACAATAACAATGCATATAATTATATATAGCATAAAGTACACATATTCTCCATTCTCACCACAATTCATCACAATTCACTCATATACTTCACAATGTATATATAAATATATATATGGATAATAACCAAGCATATTCATCATGCATACATCCACAATTCTCATCATTCCACATAAACATACACATATTATGTTTATTCACCAATGCGCCATATAAAGATGATAAATGCAAATCATAGAGACCGACTCACGACTCTATGCAGATGCAAATGCGGTACCGACTCAATCATCTCAAGTTCACTCTGGAACTTATTGGAACCATCGCTCGTTACCAATGTAACTCCCCGTCGGGCCTACGATGTTCACCCATTGCTCACACCCCACATGGGCACACAATGTTTATGGATTGCTCACACCCCACATGGGCACACAATCCGATTGCTCACACCCCACATGGGTACACAATCATTTATAGTCATCGCTCACACCCCACATGGACACACGATGATATCTACCCATTGCTCACACCCCACACGGGCACACAATCATTTGTAGTCATCGCTCACACCCCACATGGACACACGATGATATCTACATATTGCTCACACCCCACATGGGCACACAATGTTTATGGATTGCTCACACCCCACACAGGCACACAATCCGATTGCTCACACCCCACATGGGCATACAATCGTTCAGCAGATTCTCATAAGAATCACACAGCACAAGAATGCATATTATAATGCTTCATATGCAAAATGACTCATGACACTCTTGAAATGCATACATATTCACAAATATATTTTCATGCATTCATCTCATACCATCACATACAATGTTTATACATATTCACATCAATCTCACCATGCATTTACGTTTAATTTAAACCATGCATATATTTGCCAAAAGGTCACAATTCACAATCTAGGATTCACGCCATACGACCACCCACATCATATCATATAACAGCACACAAACTACACGTTCGGAAGAAGATCGATCACAACCGAATTAAAGAATCGACATTGGATGGAAATAACAAAAGAAAACAAGTTGCTGTCACGCTCGCTGGAATACTCGCCTAGCGAGGTCATTAGCGAACCAATCGCTACTGACTCGCCTAGCGAACCTGCTCGCGAAGACTGAAATTAGCTACTGGAAGTGTTCGCTACCTACTCGCTAGGCTGCTCGCCTAGCGAGCACCTCACGACTTCCCTCGCCACAACGAATAAGGGTCATTTTGGTTCTGTCCAAGTCTGGGAACGCTCGCTGGGTTGCTCGCCTAGCGAACCCTTCGCTACCTCACTCGCCAGACGCTCGCCTAGCGAACGTTGCGCTACTCAAAACCCCAACTGTCCAAAAATCATCAGAAGTTCATAAAACACCCGATTTTAACCAAACCAGTTCCAATAGTCTCGGCCTAATAATCCTCGACTAAACTACGCAATTTATTCCGAATTCTAACCGTTAAAACATCAGTTTCTATCGATTAAACCATTTCGACCTAAAATGGAATAAATGGAAAAACAACCAAACAATCCACACAAACACATACATAATGATATACCTTGATAAGATAATAAGATTTCACACCCTTACCCGATTGAAACGATTCTGTCATACCCCAAATTTGTCCTACCTTTTTTCAAAATTCTCATTTGCCCGATTTTGTTTTTAATTTACCTCGCTTATATAGCGTAGCGTATTTTCCAGCAAAAGCAGGCATTTTCTTTTTAGCCCAATAAATTTGCACCACATGGCATCCTTTTATTTATTATTATTTATGTTTTAACATTTTTATTATTAATTAGTTAAAATAGGATAGAATTATAATTATTTATTTATTTATTTGTTTATTAGAATAGAATTTGTTTTTTTATTAATCAAATTAGAATTAGTTTTATTTAATTAATTAACATAGAAAATAGATTTATTAAAATTAAAAGAAATTTAATTTAAGAAAAAGAAAATTGAAAAGATGAAAACACGGTAGATTTGGAATTAGGTTTAGTTCTTTTGGGATTATATAAGTTACTGTTCACAGACCCTAGGAATGGAGGGGATACTGTTCACCCTAACCCTAAAGATAACGGCCGCCCCTAATTCTGAAGGGCAACCCTAACTATCCCCAATTCATCCACACAAAAAAACCCTAAATCGAACACTGTTCATCTCTTCTCCCTCTCCCAAATCGGCGCCGACCACCACCCTCCGTTTTCTTCTTCCTCAACGCTCCATCACCATCTTCAACCGAACCTTCTCCTCTTTCTCCTTCACCATCCCTCAATCAAAACCTTCGTCTTCTCCCACTGCGAAAACCAAACCCTCACGAAACCAAATCTCTCACGAAATCCTCATCACCATGTTCATTTCCTTCAGCCTCAAATCATTAAAACACCCACATTCGGTCCTAAAACCTCACCATTTCTACCACCACCTTCCAAAGAGCAAGCTTGCGATCAAATATGTACGGATCCTCTCACGTCAACTCCCTTTGGTTCACCTTGTGGTTGTGTATTTCCTATGAAAGTCAAACTTACACTGGATGTAGCTCCTTATGCTGTTTTTCCAGTAGTGAACGAGTTAGAGATGTTGGATTTAAGCAACAATAAACTCAATGGGGTGTTGCC